ACTCAAACACTACTTCATATCAAAGGATGAAAAAGAAATGGAAGCAACTCAAAAGAAAATAAAAGGTAAATATTAACATTCGCACTTTCTGGATGAGAAACTGAGGCATGGGAAAAGGGAATACCCAGTCTCCCTCCAGATCTAAGTATTTGGCACTGGAAACAAAAAAAACAAGGTTCTCAGAATTAATTGTAGCTTGTTATTGAAAATCCCGGCCAAAATCAAGCACTCCCCAAAAAGCACCCCAGATAGGTTCCTCTAACATGTCAGAAAGCCCATATTTCTGAATGTTAAAAACAAAACCATGTTTTTATTTGTGATTCAGTTCAGACACCTTCCAATTCAGAGAAACTTGCCCAGCATAAAGATGCACTCCAACTGATGCGAGAAGTCATCATCTGGAGGCACCCACTCCTGCACAAGCTGATTTTGAATATGTTAGTTCCCATCAGTGACACCTCTCCTGCTAAAACAAGCCTGTGTCCTGTTACAAACCTAGTGAAACACAAGATGAAGTATTTCACAAGCTATAGTAGAAAATCATCTCTCCACCCCATGGAAAGTACCTTATGCTAGGATGAAACACGGTGCGTATTAAACAACATGTGGCACAAAAACTAGTGGTGCAAATTAAAATGCTGAAACCATTCTGGGATTTTAGGGACATGAAATGCCCTTGCCCATGCTCTGTATGCCCTTCTCTGGGAAGGGGGCTGAAGATGCAAGAAAGGAGCTACAGAAGCCTCCTTGACCAGAGGAGTTGCCTGGGCTGCTGGACCTCAGCTCTAAACGGAGGAAATGGGCAGGTCAGTCTGTGGGCACACCTTCACTTAGATGAAGGCTTAAGGAGATGCCCCCATGTGCTCCTTGTTCTGCCTCTAACAACATCCTACTTTATAGCTCCAAGAAAGCCACTTCTTTGCCCCGCTTGTAAAATGGGAAAAAGCACTCCTTTGCCCCTGAAGTACATCTGAAGCACAAATGCATTAACGTTTTAAGATGCTTCAATATTATGGAAGAGACAATGCTTGAAATGCGTAAATAAATAGAAGCAAGGTTTTTCAGGAGAGGTAATAGGCTTTACTAGCTCAACTAATATTTCTGTATGAGTTCCAAGCATAAGGGATTTGCGCCCAAGATGTACTCAGTTTGAAAACTGGGATTTCTTTTCAAGCCTGTAAAAACGTTTGCATTGACTCAAATTGCCTTTTCTTGGGAACTCACACCAATCAGCTGGGCTCACATTTTCTCTCCCCAGAGACTTTGCCACTCTCATATCCTTAGGCCATCACAGTTTACAGCAACATAAATAGCTAATTAACTTCTTACTTAAAAGTAAGAAAGCAATCAAGTCAGCATCCTCATCGGCATCTAGAAATCCTTCAGCTTTCTACCACTCTGACTTTAGACAACTCAGATGAGATGCAGCCTGAAATATCTGCTGCAACAAGACCAAAGGCAGTGAGGTTCCAGTTACCGATACAGAGAGATAGCTTACCTACAATCACCCAAATAGCCATACAGTATCATACAACCTGGAAATGGTAAGACAAAAAATATTGAGAAAAAAAACTAGAAGGAAAGAAAATACGGAGCATAATAGTAAGAGGCCAAACTCTCAAGAATACTCTTGAATGCTTGTTCAGTTCTCAACAACACGAGCTGCAGTCCCACCAGGTAGGCACTAGTTCCTACCAGCAAGTACAATGGTGCCCCAGTTCTCTTTGAAAGAGCAATAGCCCACTGAAGTCTACCAAGGAAATAACATAGTGAGTTTATAAACTGCAGATTACACTTAGGAACTGAAAGCATGTAAGCTGTCAGAGCAGGCTCCATTGCAGAGCCAAAAGCCACACCCTGGAGAATGGGGAAGATGCCACAGAGCACTCAGTCACAGAATGGCTGAGGTTGGAAGCGACTCTGGAGGCCAACTGATCCAGTTCCCAGCTCCAGCAGGGACACCTAGAACGGGTTGCCCAGCACCATGTCCACCAAAGCATCATCTCTCTGACTGCCCTCCTTCAGCCCCACTGCTGAGCACTCATTTCCAGACAGATTGGAAATCTTGCTTTACTATATATACTGTATGCACGTATAAAAATGCAGTAAGTCCTTTTTTAGCCCCAAAGCTACTCTCACAGGCTTTGCACGTGGGTTGTTTTCACGCTTCACAGTGAGGCACATAATTCTGGCAGGTTTCTACCTCACCAAGCAGCTCAGACACCTGGCCTCAGACAACCTGCCCACTTCATGTTCTCTCCCTTTCCAGGATTTTTCCTTAGGGATGCTCTCAGCTGGGAAGGCTTCCTAAACACCAATCTCATTCCCCTCATTTTCTATGCAAGCTCCTGGCTCCCTAGAAGAACCAGTGCAGGACCAATTGAGGCAGATGGGAACTTGGTTGCAAGGGTGATGAAACTGCCAAGACGGGAAAGTTCAACTGCTGTGGACCTTCTTTTTCTGCTGCCAGGAGGGTATCCACAGTGTGACACTGCAGCGGGGACACATGGCACATAACCCAAGCGAAGGCGGGGGTTGGCTTAGCTCCTGAGTTTTATCAGCACCTCTACTGCATCCCCAGCTCTCACAAACCAGCAATCAGCAGATCTGTCAAGAAAACCTAGCTACAGACCCAGAGACCTCTGCTTGTTACAAATTATGAGTCTTGCTGGCAAAGCATATAAGCGTGCTGTGATTAGAACAGCCACAGCCATTTCTAGCAATATGGTCTCTTACAGAACCCCTTCATGTCCTAATGCCTTGCACACTTTCACACATCTGCTATTAGAGACAGAGGCCGAAGAAGGAGTTCAGGCAGCAATTGACTTTCCCATCCACAGCACCCAGCAGTTTGGGCACAGCTCCTGGCCACCAGCTTTCAGGTGGGGAGAAGACCCTCCCCTACACGAGGATTCCTGTAGATGATAGCTAAGGGATGGAAAATGTTGTATCTGAATGCTGCAAAGGTCTGATGTCTCCAAATGGAGAGTCAAGAGATTTTGCTGGTCAAACTCCCACCCTGCAAAGCAGACAGGTTCATAGTTCCCCATGACTGTATCACTCCAGCAGAAAAGAATGAAAACCTCTGAGCAGGGACACGTCTGCTGTAAAGAAACCTAGTATACCCAGGTCCATTAGAGCTATAAGTATATAACAAGAGCATCTTCAAACCACAAAGAAGAAGGCACTACAGCACACAAAGCTGGAGAATGTGCTATGGTTTTGAACCACTTACAGATACATCTCTACTACTTCATCACTCTTAAGAAATACCATAGCATGTGGGTGAGGAAGAGTCAAAGCTTTGCCTTGTATTTGGCTTGCTTTACAAGAGCTCTTAAAATAAGACTACACCCAAAAATAGAGTGAAGGGGTTTTGTTATCTTATGAATAGGCGCACACAATCTGGCATGCTGGCTGCAAAGAGAAGTCTGTAGTAGATTACACACTCCTAACAGGCTGTTGTTACATTCGGGTCAGGCAACAGGAGAGGAAAGAAGGATAATAAAATCATTACACTTCACTTTTACTTATTTGTTAATACTCTGGATTTTAGAGAATGAAATAGAGACAAAGCTTCTGTTAAAGCATGCTTAACAAGCACCTCTGGCCTGCATCTCACGCGTAAGTGATTCTCTCATCTGAGTCTTGATCATCTCTGGAGAGCAGCCTGCCAGAGGTACCAGAGGTGACAGATTTGCAGTGCATGTCTTGGATAAAATCCTGCGTTCTGCATACGGTAGCTAAGAGCAGATGTCTAAACTGAGCCTCGCCTTATTACCCAAAATGAAGCCATACTTAGGCAGAAAAGCCCTGTTAAATATTGCTTTGTGGAAAGAAATGAAAAATTCCTCTGCGATGGAAGAGGAAGAAATATCAGACAAAGACTAAAAGAGCAACAGCAGAAAATCTACAGGCTGCATGGGAAACAGGATTTAGTCTAGGCAAATACCTGGCTCTTGTCACATTTGCTGATGGCAGCCTGCTAAACCTTGGGGTCAGGAGGCAAGGGGAAAGTTTGCTTTTGTTCTTTTGGGTTTTGTTTTTTAACCGCTCAGGTTAAAAGGGGCACCACGTACACCTTCAAAGGAAAGATCATTAGCTTGAAGCCTGGAAGAATATGTTCTTGAGAATTTGCTCTGTTCCCACATTACTACTAGCGAGCCATGCTCATTTCTCACTCCATATCAGAAATCCACCCCTCACTTTGAGGTTGATTTCTGAAGAAGCTGAGCACAAACTCACAGAACACACCCCTGTCCACTTAGCTCAATGAGGAAAAAGAAAAAATCTCACATTGGCATGGTGAAGTTGTGCCCACTCCTGCATACACAAGTAGCCTGCCACAGTCCTCACAATTAACTTGCTTGTCGCAAGGTGAACCTGCAGTCCCTTTTCTCATCAGCCCTGAAAACAACAGGCTGCAAAGCTCAGTTTATTGCTCTGTCTGGTATCTTCTCATTTGGCTCTAATCTCCTCCAATATATTTCAAGTATTTCAAATGCTCTTGCAGAGATGGGGCTCTTCTGAAGGCCTGACATTTTTATAGTCCTGGCAAGCCATCCATTTCTATTTAATTTAGCTCTTGACACAAATAAACATATGCACTGAGATTTACATACGAGTAGGATTTTCTCAATTTTGCATGCTGGGGACTGCATCTGTAGTGCAACCACCTAAAACTATGGGTGATACTGAGCTACACTGCTGGTTATCGACAGCTAGGTGGGAGGCAGCTGCCAATATGGCCAGGGCAGCACAGAGCTTGTAGCCTGTGAGGGGCTATCTGTAAATCAGGGTAAAAAAGTCATTGACTGCATTGCTTTCCAAGCCACAACAAAACCATTTCATGTCTCCTTTTACAAGCTACTATCACAATACAGACATCCAGAGCTAGAAAAATAAAATAGAAGGTTTATCCTTTTAACACCCCAACTGCCCCCCGAAGATGCTGTGCAGACACAGCTCCTGCTTGCTCTTAACAACCACAGGTTTCTTACCTTTGGGCAAGTGCTGTGGCTGTAGCTCCTCTAGGCTGCTCACTAGAGATCAGGGAAAGAGACACCTGGGGCCAACAGCATTTTATCCCTCCCAGCTGGCACCAGTTAGTTAAGAAAGCCCCATTCACTTCCACCTGGGCTATAGGGTGAAAAATAATAAAATTAAAATAAGAAAGTGATAGAAATGCTGTTCCTCAGCCTCTCCACATCAGGCTGTTCTTGAACTCCCAGTGGGTGTTTTTCAAATCGGTATTTTCATTTCCTAGCTGGGTATAAAATTGTTCCTTTGTGGAGCTCTGTCATGGTTCCAAATACAGAGCGTCATGATTGCAGGCTGGGTCTGACTTTTTTTATGGACAGTAATGCAACAGAAAAGGAAAAAGTAAGGGACGAGAGAAAGCTCAGGGGGCACTTGGCTATGTGGAGGGTGGATATGTATGTGGATTCCTAGGAAAAAGGCTAAGCTGACTTGGAGAAAAACAAAGCAAGGGTGCTCAGACATAATCAGCATGCAGTCTTAGCCAATGGCTAGTGGTGTCCCAGGCTGTATGAGGAGGCTGCTGAGATCATTCAGTCTGGAGAAGACTCAGGGAGGATCTTGTCAATGTCTGTATTCAGAAACTACCAGGACAGGGTACTGAGAACTCTGAGTGGCCTGGTTCAAATTGGGGCTGGACCAGATGGCTTCAGAGGTCACTGCCAACCTCAGCTACTCCTACCAGTACCAAAAGGAAGCCTGCAAGAAAGGTGGAGAGGGATTCTTTATAAGGGAGCATAATGACAGGACAAGGGATTTTAGCTTTAAATTAAAAGAGCGGTTTAGATTATAATTTAGGAATAAATTCTTTACTCAGAGGGTGATGAGGTACTGGCACAGGCTGCCCAGAGAAGTTGTGGATGCGTAAGGTATTCAAGACCAAGTTGGATGGAGCTCTGAGCAACCTGGTCTAGCAGGTGTTCCTTCCCATGGCAGAGGGGTTGGAACTAGATGATGTTTAAGGTTCCTTCCAACTCAGACTATTCTGTGATTCTATGATTCTGTGAAACTCGTGACTAAGCTGGATGCTAAGATGTCAAGCATTCTAGAAATGAGCATCATGATGTGCCACTCTACAAAGGAATAACCATTCCCTAAAGAGCACAAAAAATAGTGATGGTAGCATGTGATGGGAAGAGTGCAAAAATACTGATACAGTCAGTATGCGTGAGCTGATGTTGTGATGTGCCTGGGACTCATGCAACAGCCTACAAGGTTCAAGCTGATTATAGCAGTAACATTTCAGGCTGAGAACTTAGCTTCACTGACCTGCATGCATTTAATCAGCACATTGGTACATATCTCCTTCTATCTTAAATGTTCTTGCTGTGCCTCTTTATTCTTTCTCTCTGGATAAACACAGTGAATGCCTTCCCCCCACTCACCTGATTCAATGACATGTCCACAGGGGAAAGAGGATTGGTGACCCCTGTTCTGAGACAGATTAAAAACCGGCTGGACTTTCAGCAGCAGATTAAGGGAAATGACTTCCTGTCCCTCTGTTCTGAAAGGAAAATATGACCTACTCGTTATGAAGTCTGAAAATCACTGAGAGAAAAGTCAAACTATTCACTCCTGGGATCTTGAACTAGAACAGCCAACACAGAGTGGTAAGAGGATGCTAAATATTTCAGTGATTGAAAGAACACAAGGGGTAAGTAATTAAAAACCCATATGGCAGACAGCAGTTCTTAGACCGTGGTCTGTGGGGCACCAGTGGCCTGCAGAGCATTCCTGTGTGGTCAGCAGAAGGGTTGCTGTCATAACAGCAAAGCATCTGTCACTTTTCAAGCAGTGACCTGCCCTGCTCTTTCTTCTCCCGTGCAAGCCTCAAAGCCTCACAGAGTTCCCTGAGACTATTTTTGACCCACCGGGCTGACAAAGAACTTAAGCCTGTCTGTCTGCACCAGGCACTGGGCTCTCCCACAGTTCCTTTTGATGACTGATTTTTTTAAAGGGAGCCATGAAAAATGCCAGGCAGAGCACCACAAACCACACAAAGAGCACTGCAACTGATCTACAGAAGGGTCTGTAAGCTGCAACAAACACCATGTTGGGCAGGGTGGTCTAACCAAGCATCTGTGCCCACCACACTGGAAAGACGTTTACCACCTGCTTTCCCTATGATCTTTGGTAATATGTTTTCAAAATATAATTAGCTCTGGTATTGTAATTGCCTCAGGGAGGGAATGAGGTCAAGAGTGAGGCTGGAAGAAGAGAGGAAGACGGTGGGCAAGTTAAAATGTCAACAGGATTCACTCAGGGAAATCCCTTGTTACCATCCTGGTGGATGATTTTCAAAGGCAAAAGAAGAATTCACAAACCCCCTACATTTTCAGCTTCCTTTGAGTATCTCTCTTGCATGGTTATCTTGAATAGATGCAACTCCCTGATAGAAAAACCTACCCTGAAATCTTGTAAGAACAAGGTCTTCTGTGTTTCTTTAACTTCAGGGCCAGAAAATCCACATGAACAGCCTTCATCTACCCCGAGTCCGCAGTCTCCGAGTGCCTTCTAGCTGTTCATTAAGCAACGTGACTAATGCTTGTCACGTGTGCTTTGTTATCACTCATTCTCCCCGCGGGCTCTGCACACAGAAGGCAGGCTCTGTGTGCAGCACAGAGTTTGGCCTCAGTAGGGTTTAGTATTTTTCCTTTTCCAAGGTACTGGCTGCTGTGAGGGGATGTTAGGCACAGCAAGCTGCAGAGAGGTACCTTGCATTTAGAGAGGGAGGCGTGATGTCTGCAGATGTCCCTTGCTCCTGTGGGAAGTCATTCCAGTGCCCTGCACTGGCTGTGCCTGGCAGAGATGTCCCAGTGCCTCGGCATTTACGGCTCCAGCCTGGGGAGAATTAACAAGTATCACAATAAAGTGTTATTGATTCTGAACATGGGATTAGAGCTGAAGGTGGTTCTTACTGGAAAGGAGGACACTAATGTCTAACAAAGCAGAGATATGCCAGGATGCTGTGCCACAGACCTCACATATGCCTGAGCACAGACTATGGTGGGCTAATCTCGTTCAGTACAATACTCAGCATATCAAGACAGGCTGGCTAAACGTCAAGTAATTAATCACAGAATCACAGAATCATAGGGGTTGGAAGGGACCTCCAGAGATCATCAAGTCCAGCCCCCCCGCCAAAGCAGGTTCCCTACACCATGTCGCACAAGTAGGCATCCAGACAGGTCTTGAATATCTCCAGAGAAGAAGACTCCACAACCTCCCTGGGCAGCCTGTCGGTCTCCTTCCTAATCTATGTAGTTAAAAAGTATGCATCAGAATGAAGCCAGGGTTGCTAAATCCACGGTCTCTCTGTGGGTAATGCGGAAAGATTTTTGCTGCTTTCTTCTCCATGTGGGGAAACGATGCACTGAAAGTCCCAGCTCCTTTGATTTGGTGGCTGGAGGCAGTAGGTGACCTTATCTCTCCACCAATCTTCGCAGTGGCTTGTTTTCCCTCCCCCTCCATGCTCAGGATTGCAGAGCAGTGCCTCTGGCATGCACAATGAGTCAGCATCCCAGCAACTTCTGCATCATGGAAATACTCCCATTCCCAGGGCTGTGCTGCTCTCGACTTTGCAAGTAAAACAGGGCACCCCACCTTTGACAAAGAAGGGCCCCACAAGGAGCCAGGTCCTCTTACGCAGCCAGCACACCAGGCATGCTGCTCATTTTGTGTCAGAGCACATGCAGAGAGAAGGTGAGCATCCCTTCCTCTTGCTCTCACCAGGAATGGTCACACAGTATTTTTTAAAAGCTGAAGCCAGTCACAGTGAGTGAATGGTTTCGGGGTGGTTTGTATTATTTTTTGTTTGTTTTTCCTTTTTTCTTTTTTTTTTCTTCATTCTAGTTTCCCAGCTAATGCTCTGGAGAGTAAAAAAGAAAGAAATTCTCTCAGAGCTTTTGTTGCGAGCATCTGAACTGAACCCCACCCCTGAGATTTCAAAGGAGCTTCTTTAGTTTTGTAACTTTTCCCTGCTCTTTGCGTTTCCTCTTCTGGATGATAAAAAGACCAAGCAGACTAGTGCTGTTTTCACAGTGCGTGTGTCATGTCCAGCATCACACCGGCAATTCCAGGGCTCTTGAAGCAGAGTTCCAGTCTCAGACTCTCTGAAGAGGTCTGAACGCATTTAAACACTCAAAATTCCAGCTACGCTTTTAATCAAATCCTTGAAGTTGCTCTCAGGACTCACTGTCAGTTCTGCAGCCAGGAGCATGTCCCATGCCTTTACGATGGCTGTGACTTCGGCCATAGCCAGTGGCTCTTTTCAGCCCAAGCAGCACTACCCAGTAAGTACCAAACCCAGTACCTTTTTATTTTCATCGCACGGTACCAACTTGTCTTGCAATAATAAGGCCTCTTCTGCATTTCCATCACAGCTGAGCCACCACACACCACTGGTCCTCTAATGAGGATGCTGACACTTCATGGGAAAAAAAGGAAATTTCTGAGAGAATGCAGGCTGCACTTTGCCTCATCACTGATGGTGGTGTGGCTTTTTGCCTAACTCCCTTGACTTCCTCTGTAAGGTCTGGATGCCTCTAAAATAAGTTAAACCCCCAGACAGGCTCCTGTGGTTTCACAGGCTGGCAGCCAGTGTCCTATACCAGCCATCACCTTCTCACTGATGGACACGTCACCAGAAAAGCATATTCCTTCTTACTATGCACTGGAGAGTCTCATAACATAGACACAAGGAAACATTCACCAGAATCACAGATGCTACTTCTGGGTTATAAAGTGATGCTCACAGACAGCCGAACAAGTGCTCTGTTCTTTACTTCTGTCCATACAAGAAATGATAGTGGTTTAATCAAAAAGGATTAAAATCTGATAGCCTTAAGCTAGTGCAAACCATGGTAGAGACACTAGACCCTTGGTGTACATATATGTTTAATGAAACAACACATTTAATGAACAAATTGTTCCTTGATGTATGAAGAAGCTACAAAACTTATCTAACATTGGCATCTAAACTTGATAAAAGCAGCACGCTGTTTAAGGGCTAACTGTGCCAGATGTGACTGCTATTTGCCCTTTTAAATTTAAATAACAGCATATCATGATCACTTTTAGTGGAAATGGATAAATAA